AAAGGAATGGCAGAGAGCCATGGACCAGCATTGATTGTCCATAATAATAGGACATTCACCAAAGAGGACTTTGAAAACATAACCAAACTGGCTGGTGCTACTAAAGCTAACCAGCCACTCAAAATTGGTAAATTTGGTGTTGGTTTTTGCTCAGTGTATCACATCACTGATGTACCTTCATTTGTTAGTGGTGAGTGGTTGTATATATTTGATCCAACACTTAAATACCTTAAAGGTGTAGTTCGTAATGAGAGCAGACCAGGTAAAAAAGTTCAGTATCAGTCTAAATTTTTAGCTCAGTCTCAGCAAATGTCTCCCTATGAAGGTTTGTTTGGTTTCAAATCTACTGCCAATTATAATGGTACCATTTTCCGACTTCCTTTTAGAACGAGTGCGAGTCAAATTAGCTCTACAATTTATGATGAGCATCTCATACAACAAATGAAAAATGACCTTATAGAAAATGGCTCAAAGCTACTTCTTTTTTTACAGAATGTTAAGCGTATAACTTTTCGCTCAATGCAAGATGATGAAGTATGTATTAGCAGTATCAATGAAGAAAATAGCATTAAACATTGCATAACTAATTCTCCTGCTAGCAACTCAGTTAGTGAATATTGGTTAGTATCTTGCCATGAAGAGAAGTTACAAACACAAAGAGGTGACTACCAGCCTGGAACTGCATCCATAGCTTGCCAGCTAGTTAAGGACAATTCAAGTTTTGAATGCAAAGCAATTGAAGGTAGTGTGTTTTGTTTTCTTCCACTTTCACTGCCTTGCACTGGCCTACCAGTCCATGTTAATGCTAACTTTGCTGTAATGAGCAACAGGAGTGGTATCTGGACTGGAGCTTCATCTGGAGAGCCTTCTGATTCAAGGGAGTATTGGAACAAGAAGCTGATGACTACAATCATACCAAAAGCATATTGCAATTTGTTAAAAATGATGAAAGACATGTGTGTTACAAGAAATTTGGTATCATATGACTTTTATGTTTTGTGGCCTTTGATTAGAAAATTACAGACAAGTTATCCATGGAAAGACATGGTTTTAGTTCTCATTCATTTAATTGAAAATGAGAAACTTTTTTATTCATCAGTAGTTTGTCAATGGTTTACACTTGCTTCATCTCAGTTTTTTCCTTTATCTTTATTTGAAATGCAAACCTGCTCTATCCTAATTGAAGCTGCCAAAATACTTAAGCTACCTTTAGTTTTATTACCACAAGATCATGTGGAACAACTTCCTAATCCCAGCATCGTATCTGAAGACCAATTCTCTCAAGGTTTTTTTGATAACATTTCTTTGTTCTCTGATTGCATAGACACACGAAACAAAATTCTTTCAGCAATGTTATCAGTACTTGGTAATGGTACTGCAGTTCCTGACAAGTATATGAAGTTAAAAAATGTGTTAGAGTTACATCCGTGTGTTCCAACTTCACCTGATGGACTTAAGCTCAAATTGGCTGAGGAACTTGTTGATTTAGATGAATTTTGTGATATGTTTGATCCAGAAGATGGCATGTTTCCTCAGAAAAGCCTTTATGAGGATACATTAGTACGTGAAGGAATTTCTAGACTTGGACTGATGTCAGTAGTTGAAGTGTCCTGGGAAGTGATTATTAGCAGTGCAAGAACTGTACAACCCTTGATTGATACAGAAGAAGAAAGAGCTCTTGATAGAATTAAAGCTATAATTGAATGTATAGAGGAAAAAGAAGATCCTGCTCCTCCCATAATAAATGAAATTTCCTTTTTACCTGTCTTACCCAAGCCAGACAAATATTTCTTGCCATGGAAAGGTGATACCCATCGTCTTCTACCACCTAGTCAAATGATTGCAAAGGAATCATATAGTCTAAAAAGAACTAGCTTGTTATTGGGCTCACAAAAAGCAATAATCAATACAAACTCAAAAGGATGTGGTATGATTTCATCTCATTCATTAAAATTAATTGGTGTTACTTTGCATCCTTCATTTAATGATGTACATAATCACTTTATTTGTTTAATGAAGGAACTTCATTTAAGTATGAGTGACGACTTAGAGAAAATACAACTAACAGAAGAAATTTGCAAATTGGTCTATGCTTATTTTGAATCTAAAATAACAAATTCGACCAGTGCTACTGGTAACTTACTAACTTCAAAAGATTCCAACCAGAATCCTGATTCTATGAGATTCCAAGAAATCTTGGCCGAGTATTGTGGCAAACCATTTGTTTGGACTGGAAAATGTTTTGTTTGCCCTTGTGATGTGTCTATTAATTGGAAGCATTCAGAAGGTCCTTACCTTTACAAGCTCCCTGGGATATTATCTCAGCATAAAGAGCTAGTGAATTGTTTGAAGATCAATAAAAACTTTAGCACTGTAAAGCTTTTGGATGTTTTAAATCAAATGTATGCAGAGTTTAGTCCTACTTGTGAAATTCCAGAATCATATCGTGAAACTGCTGACAACATTATTTCTGATTTAAATGCTTTTCATAAAGAAGATCTTGAGGGTTTGAAGGAGAATGCAATCCTATTTGACAAATCCTATATTCTTAGACCAACAAAGCAGCTAGCTTTTAACGATGCACAATGGCTACCTCCAGACAATGAAAGTAATTATGTCCCTTCATTTCTTGCCAGAGAAGTAGCACTAGCACTTGGTGTAGAACCCACCAAAAGCAAATTCCTTGAAAAATATACTTCACAATCACAGAAATTTTCTGGAGTTCCATTTGGTCAAAAGGAAGAGCTTACTTTAAGAATAAAAAATATTCTTGAAGATTATCCACTAGATGTGACCTTTCTGAAAGAATTGCTACAGAATGCTGATGATGCAAAAGCTACTAAAATGTGTGTCATTCTTGACAAGCGCCATCACACAGCAGAAAAGATTCCATTTAAAAATGGAAATGACTTAAAAGGGCCTGCTATACTTGTGTGGGATGACAAAGAGTTCACTGATGAAAACTTGGAAGGAATACAAAAACTTGGTCTTGGTTCAAAACGAGATGACAATGAATCTGTTGGTCAATTTGGCATTGGATTTAATGCAGTATATCATGTAACTGATTGCCCTAGTTTATATACACGAGGCAACACTCTATGTGTATTTGACCCTCATTGCAAATATATTCCTGGAGCTGATGAGCTCAATCCTGGAAGGCAATTAAACACAGATAAATTTTTTTGGGACAGCATGTCTGACCTTCGTTCTTTCTTCCTGCAAGATGATTTTCCTGATAAGCCACAAAACTTAGACTCTGGTGTTTTATTTCGGTTTCCTCTTCGTTGTACTGAGGAACAAGTGAAGAATTCAAAGCTTGTTGATCATGAAAAGGCAAAGCCATTGACTGCTGATAAAATGGAAGAACTTCTGAATGCTTGGACAGTCAGTATTAAAGAATCTCTTTTATTCCTTAATCATATAATACAATTTGAATACTACATTATTGAAAGTTCTAGCAAAGTAAAATGTGTAAGAAGCTATAGTGTTGATTTAGATGCAGATAGTCTTGAAAAAAGAAAGAAGTTTAAAGGAAGCTCTTCAAGTCCATTTCTTGTTACTTATCCAGTTTTACTAAAAACCAATTTGGGTGCAAATCTTTTTTCAGAAGAGCACTGGTTGATACAACAGGGAGTTGGAGACATAGAAAACCCTAATAAAAGTTGGAATAGTTTCAATGCTATTCCTAAACATGGAATTGCAGCTACATTAGAAAGAAGCAACGACTTTAGAGGCCAAGTCTTTTGTTTCTTGCCACTACCAGTATTCACTCACTTACCTGTTCACATCAATGGCCAGTTTGTTCTTGTTAGTAACAGACGTTCACTTTGGGTCAACACTACCGAAGAGCCAGATGAAAAGACTAAATGGAATGAATCTTTAATCAAAGCTATTGCATCATCATATACACAGTTTCTTGCAAACGCAAAAAAATATTGTTTTACTTTGGATAAGTATGATAATCTTGATGAGTTATTTGATGCTGTTAACAAGTACTATAGTCTTTTCCCATTTTGGAATCCACCATTTGTGTATAGAAAGAAAGAAGAAAAGCCTGAAACTACTTTTCGAAGTTCTGGTAACATCACTCATTCTTCTGGAATGCCAATGCCCAGATTTTATCCCATTGTTAAAAAAGTTGACTGGAAAGGAATATGCAGTTTAGTTTTCAAATTAATATGGGATAGCAATGCACATCTTTTAGCTACAGAAATGAAAAAGAAAACATTTTCTAAAAATGAGTCTAACTCTAAAAAAGATGTGTGGTGGACTGTTGAATGGCATGAGTTCCATAATGACAATAATCCTAAAAAGCAAGCATATTTTCAATCAAACACTTTACAAAAGGAGAAAAAGAAAGTTCTAAGACATCTTGGCATGATCCTTACATGTGCCCCACATGCACTTTATTCTCACATTCAAGCGGAAAAAATTAATCCAGCTATTTTATCAAGGGAGTCAGTTTACGAATACTACTGCAATTTTCATTCACAAATTGTAACGAAATGTCCATGCCCAATAACTGAAACTCCATTTGAATCTGTAGAGAATTTCATTATACTTTTGACTTACTTGTTGGAGCGTTCTGATGATGAGAGTTCCGTAACATATGTTTTTCCTAAAGTTCCTGATAAAGTACCACTTCTTCTAACTGCTGACTCACATTTGCGAGTGTTTAACACTCCTTCAACTGTTGTATGCAGCAAATACTCCCATATTTTTGGAAAAAGTTCATTTATGTTTTTACACCCCAATGTTATTGGTAAAAGGCTATCAAGTTCTTACTTTTCTTCAGAATTATCTCTTGATACAATTGAAATTATTATGAGCTCAAATTTTAAGTCAGCTTTACAGTCTTTAGAAGTAGAGAACACCAATCAGGATCTAATTCAAAAAGATGAATTAAGAGGACTATGGTCATGCTTAAAAGATGATCCTATTTTTTCTAAACATGTTTCTTACATAGTGAAAAGGTGGGCTATTATACCAGCTAAATCTGGCCATTTATTTTCAGCTGATTCACCAATTCTTCCTCTTAATATGGAATCATCGGTTGACAATGATGCATTTACTAAATTGGTGTCGCTTGGAGTTCCACAATTTGATTCCATGTACAGTAGCTGTTTAGCAGTTGATTATTGCATTAATCTTGAAAATTACTGTAAAGTTCTCTCTATTCTGTATCATTTGCATCAAAAGACACAAGTGCTTTCTAACCTAAGAGATGTGAAGGAGACAATTCAAATTTTGTTTAATTATTTTGGGAGAATCAATTTTAAATTTGAATCAGAAAGCCTTCAAATAATAAAATACCTTCCACTTTTTGAAGAAGTGGATGGAAACTTCACAAATCTCAGCAATAAAGAGCTATATTGCTGGCCTAGTGAAGCATCTTTAACAGGCTATGATGAATGGAATTTTTCTGGATCTTATGTTTTTCTTCCAGCTAATGGACAATGGACAGCCCTCTGCAGTGACATTACAACATTAGGTGGCTCAGATCTTACTGAAAGGAATCTTTATATTAAATTCATTTTTCCAAATTTTAAGTTGTTGAGCTCAGAAAACCGAAGAAAGCATCTAAAGCATATCAAGAATACTATGCTTTATGATGCTATGCATGATATAGAACATGCAAGCAAAAGTCGACGTCAGTCAGCAGTGGACTTTCTTTATGAGCTTAAACAATTGCCATGCCTTGAAGCAAAGAATGGCGTTCTTCAACCAATTAGAACCTTTTGTGATCATAACATGGAAATTTTCAATGTTTTTTCTGAACATTTCTATTTTGTTCCTGAAGAGTACAAGGATAACAATGAATGGCTGGAATTTTTGAAAGCACTTGATCTGAAAGTGACTGTCACTATAGCAGAGTTTGAAAAATTTGCTAAATTTGTTCAGTCTGGTCATCATAAAAATATTTCCAAAGCCTCTAAAGTATTAGTGTCATACTTGTTTTCTGATTCAGCCAAAGAATGGCATCTAAATCAAGACTTTTTGTCATGCATTAGTTGCATTCGTTTTGTAGAGGTTACTAATCTTGATAATTTAGAATGGTTAGCAAAATCTTGCAACCCTCCTCTCTACTTAGTAAATGAATCAATTGGGCTAACAAAGCTTAATGAAGCAGTCATTTATGACAGTGCAGCATTAATATGGACAGTTAAACCTGTAATTAATCCACCCGTTCCTCTTTACTTGCGGTATGATTCTAAGCAATACCATGTACTTCAAAAAAAGCTTGGGATCACCCTTAGACCAAAAGTAGAAGATGTTTTTAAAAACTTAGAAAAAATTTCAGAAACAGATTTGGCAAAATTTGAATTATTTCACAAGCATGATTCGAGATACAGTATAAGAGAAGACAGTCATAGAGTTGAAATTAAAGATATCATTGAACAATCTTTGAGATATCTATTTGAATGCAATGCAGAAGAGCAACTTATAAAATTGAAGGATATCTCTTGTATTCCTGTATTAGCTAGCAAAAGCCAACGAGTACTTGTAAAACCACTACAAGTTGTGAGGCATATGTCTGTTGATTGCTCTCATCTCTTTCCTTATCTTCATCAACTGCCTTCTTTTTTGATGGGTTTTGAAGAAGAACTTCAACTCATGGGTATATCAGATAATATTACAGTCAAGACACTACAGTATGTCTTATTTACAATGCACCAGCAACTTTCAAATACTAGTCTTGATAGAAATACTCAGACTACTGTTCGAGAGGCAATTATCAAATTGCATAAGTTATTGCAGACATTTCAATATTCGAAAAAAAGCATTATTGAAGACATTTCACCTCTATATTTTCCTAATCAAGATGGAATTCTAGTTAAAACAACAGATTTAGTTTTTATTGATTCCCATCGCTATGATAAAATAGGAAAAAAATTTTCTCACTCACAGTATTCATTGTTTATTTTACCAACCCCAGCACAAAATTCTTTGTATGATCTTGTGAGTATGACCTCTGATGTCATCAGTTTACA